GGGGGGGGGGGGGGGGGGCTTCTTGAGTCCCGCGCCTGCCCAAAATATTTGCATGTATGTTATGTACATACATATGCCGGCACATATGTATGTAGGTAGGTAGGTAGGTAGGTAGGTAGGTAATGTATGCATAGATGTATTTAACATATACATATGTGTCTATACACACATGTTCAGTCGTCTGTACATGCCCATATTGATGTACATGCGCGTGTGTGTGTATATATATATACACACATGCATATGTAATCTTCCATGCATGTATGTTTGCATGTTTGCCTGCCTCCGTAAATGCTTGCTTACACTTTCAGAATGGATTGCTCCAGCCTGTCTCGATGCTGGTACACACTTGGCACCTGGTCCAAGGTCATGTCAGAGCCATGTCCGAATCGGGTTGCCTAAGCCCTGCAGACTGCCTATAAGTCCTGCACCCCAAATCCTCAAAGGTCAAATCTTGCGCCGAAAGCCCCTGTTGAAAAATGACCCGAAACCGTGATGTTCCCCAGACGTCGTTTCTGGAAGTCTCTCTCCTACCACACCATCCTTCGATGTGCGACTTTACCCTACCATAGTTTTTGGTGGACCTTCACACTCCTCAAAGCAGAGCTTATGAGGGTTAAAGACAGGGCTTTGGAGTTCATCTCAGGGCTGTTGAGTTGAATTCTTCCTCGTGTGTCTCATTCCCAAAGAAGCGAGGCGTAGAAACTCTCAAAACTGTCCCTCAATTACTCTGATAGCTTGATCCTCAATCCTGGACTGGATCCTGAGAGCAGAACCAACCCTAAACCCCAAACCCTAAACCCTAAACCCTAACCCTAAACCCTAAACCCTGGCTCAACCCTAAACCCTAAACCCTATAAGCCCTAAACATCTGCTGAGGAACAAAAGCTAGGCCCGTGGATCTTCAAAAGCGATGTGGCATGGCTTTCAGAGAGCTCGTGAGTTCGAAGGGTTCAGGGCTTAAGGTTTAGGGGTCTAGGAACTTGAAACTGCGGTTTGTTGCTTGTTTTTCCCTCCCCTTCTCCCTTTCCCTCTTCCTGTCTGTTTCTTTGTCTTTCTCTGGCTTTCTCTCTCTGTCTCTCTTTCTCTCTCTCTCTCTCTCTGTCTTTTCCCCCCCCCTCTCCGCTCTCTGTCCTTTTCGGGGTTTCTGTATGCGCGAAGTGCTTCGACTGCAGCCGAGTTGATGACAGATCCAAAGTACCGCATCGAGCACACCTTCTATTCGGACTGCGTGTGGAGGCTCGGTGTATGCTTCCATGCAAATGCCAAAGTTGCCGAGCCTTGGAGCGAGGGCTATAGACACATACAATTATAGAGTTCTCGGAAGGATGGAGCTCTGTGCCAATAGCGCCTGGGGCCGTTTGACCATTGCACATCAAGGATGCCCTGGTTAGACTTTTACCAGAACTCGCAAGCCAGTTTGATGCTTACCTTTGGCTCTTAGGCATCCGAGCGGCAGGACCACATGTCCGATTACCGGATATGTGGTAGTTCCAAACAACACGTAGGATCTTATCCAGACACCGAGAAGAGCTTTTATGAATCACTAAACTCCCTAACACAGAAAGCCTTTGAGTTAAGGCTCGCTAATCTCCTGAATCCCATCTTCAGCAGCAGCATTTATGGCACCCTGCAAGGAATCCTACCTTAATCGCTCATGCCCCAATATTGCTTCTCCCAGGTCCTACACTTAAACAACCCCTCCTAAACCCTAGCAATCCCCAACCCCGAGCCCCTGAACCCCATAAAACCCTAAGAAAGAATCGCCAAACCCCTAACCCCTAAACCCCTAAACCCCTAAACCCCTAAACCCTAAACCCTAAACCCGAAACCCTAAATCCTACTCCCTATAAACCCAAAGCCCCAAGAATTTCACCAAAACAGAGGCGCTGGGACTGCGCCGCCCTGGTGCACGAGGCCCTGCTCTGGCGCTTGGAGCAGCAGCCAGGCAGCAGGAAGGCCCTTTTCTGGGGGGCCTTCCATGGTGGGAGTTTAGGGTTCAGGCAAGTTGAGGGTGGAAGGTTTAGGGAATCGGAGGCCTCAAAAAAAATGGGGTGAAGGGTCTGGGGTTTAGGGTTTATTGTTTAGGGTGTAGGGCTTGGGGCTTCGGGTCTAGGGTTTAGGGTTTAGGGGTGAAGGTCGGTAGGGTATTCCCGAATAATAGTCCTATGATAAGGGATCCTTGATCCTACCTGCCTTCATCCCACCTTGTGAGGCCTCCGAAGGAAGGCCTTTTGAGGGGCCTTCCATGGTCGGAGTTTAGGGTTCAGGCAAGTTTAGTGTTGAGGGTTGAGGCTTTAGGATTGAGGCTTTCGGATTGAGGGTTTAGGGTTGAGGGTTTAGGGTTTAATTAGGGTTGAGGGTTTAGGGTTGAGGGTTTACAAAAGTGGGGTGGGCGCAATTTTCTAAGCCTATTCCTGAAGGCTATTCAAAATAAGTATGCCATAGCAAACCCCAAACCCTATTCTACGTATTGAGGCACTAAGATATTACTGTTATAATAATATATATGTGTAACATAACTAACAGACTATATATGTATATAATATTACAATATATTATAATATACTACAAAATAATGCAATATAATATAAATTACAGTGATATAATACAGGGTTTAGGACATGCGGTTGATGTCTTGAGAGACTAGCGGCGCTTGGAGTCCGAGCTCCTTGTTCCCGGCTTCAGCTCTGGCACACCTTGGCTCTTAACGGGTTTAGGGTTTAGGGTTTCGGATTGGGAAACCGTCAGCCTTGTCGGTTTAGGGTTTTGGGGACTTCTTGTGGAGAGGTCATCGTTCACGCTCAGAGATTAGGCGCCAGAGTGTATCACGTAAGTGCCGCCACGTGATCTCTCCAGATGTGCGTGATCGGACTGTTGAGCAACACTTCCTTCAGATGTAGCAATGCAGCAGCTTATGGGGGCGCGAATAATCTACAATCAGATCGGTTCCAGCCTCGCTAAATGAGGCTGGAAATATTTTCCCACCCAAGCCTCCGGAAGTTCTTAAATCCCAAACCCGTAACCCTAAACCTCAGGAATTCCGCCTGCCTCTTTGATTTCGGCATCTTTGACTTCCATGCGCAGCCGGGCTCAGCGAGAGGGGGAGGGCACAGGGCCATCGGGGTTTGGGGTTTAGGGTTTAGGGGGTGCGTAATGTACCCTGCCGAGATGCCCGCTGCCCAAGTCAGGAAGTCCTGGCTTCGCGCACAGAAGCAAGGGGTGCAGATATCAGGGTGGCCTCAAAGAAGCTGCGGTGAAGTTCGGGAGGTTCAGCGGGCAAGCAGGTCCCGAGTAATCTATTTATCCATGCGCCTAGCTACCCCACTACCCGTCTATCTATCTATCCGTCTGTCTGCTTGTGTTTTCCTTGAGAAGATCAGACCATTCAGCAGCCTTGCCCCAGTTTGAAGAAGCCCATATTCAAATCAAGCAGGTTCATTCATGTCAGGCTGCAGGGAAAGTGGATGCTCTGGAGGCAAAGATGTTGCACTCCACAAGCATCCTTCGCGCTTGCGAGGCATGGCTATGAGACCATGCATGATGGAATTGGTCGTTCCATCGACTGGAACGACAACTTTTTCGCTTTTCAGCATGAAGACTTCGATGATATTGATTGGGTGCCTCTCCTGCATGCAGGCTGAGTTAGATCCCGGCTGTCCATGCGCAGACCCAGCCCAATCATATGTCATGGGTCTCAACTGCTAGTTGCAAGTCCAAGCCCCATAACCCAAGACCGTGCCGGGGTGACAACCCAGGAAGGCGTAGCCACCGATGATGAACGTCAGATGAGCACCCTGCACCCCAAGCAGCGCGGGGAGCATGCAGGCACCTTGGACGACGAGCTGCAGAAGCAAGAGAGTTGGAGAGTGAGAGGGAGAAAGACAGAAACATTACAAGGAGCACGATTGAGATCCTAGTCCTCCTACTTGTATCTGCAAAGATTCTGGATTCCCACGCGCCTAGCCTCTGTTAACCTGCCCCCTAAATGCTAAACCCCAAACCCCAAACCCTAAACCCTAAAAACCCCCTAAACCCCAAACCCTAAAAGCCCCCTAAACCCTAAAAGCCCCCTAAAGCCTAAACCCGAAGCCTTCTTTTCAGTTGTTAGGGGCCCTGGGCAGCGCTATCATCGCCCACTGGACCTTCTCGATCCAGGCACGGGGTTTAGGGTTTTTAGGGATTTAGGGTTTATGGGGGCTTTTAGGGTTTAGGGTTTTAGGGTTTAGGGTTTAGGGTTTAGGGTTTAGAGGAATTTACAGGATTTGGGAGTTTAGGGTTTCAGGATTTTAGAGGGTTTTGGAGTTTAGGGCTTTGGGGATTTTGTAGGATTTTAGAGTTTAGGGCGTTGGGATGTTTTTTTAGGATTTTAGTGTTTCGGGTTTTAGGATTTTTATAGGATTTGAGTTTTTAGGGTGTTAGGATGTTATAGGATTTGAGGGTTTAGGGCTTTAGGGTAGGATTTTAGAGTTTAGGGTTTTGGGATTTCATAGGAGTTTAGCGTTTAGAGTTTGAGGATTTGTAGGATTTGAGAGTTTAGGGTTTTTCGGATTTAGGGTTNNTTAGGGTTTAGGGGTTAGGTGTTTTTACGGTTTAGGGTATGGGGGACCCTTACAGGGGTTTTGCAAGGTCGTATAAGCTCTCCGGGGGTTATAGGGTTTGGTGGTGTCCTTTACCGGGTTTCGGATCCCATGGTCACCCTGAACCCTAGATTTTAACCATATACCGTAAACCTTCAAGAAAGCCCCCCACGCCCCCCACCCTAAACCCCAAACCCTCA